TTTGTGAGATCTATCCGCAACGCTTAGTTCGGTGCCTCATTGAAAATTGAAAGTTTCATTACAGAGTAGGAATTAAACCCAGGTTTTCGTGGCGGTTCCTGGAAACAATGTTTTGGCAGTGATTTAACGACAATCACCGTACATTGTTTGAAATCGAATTACAAAATTCATTATACTTAGAGAGAAGATATATTTTCTCTTTTTGTTAAAAATGTTCTTCCATTAATATCCTCCTATTAATATCACTATTATTTTAATAATGAAAATAATAATTCAAAAATGGATATAATAGATAAAATTCACTTTTTCAAATATAAATTTAATTTAATAAGTTTTTGCGCAAACTTTTTTGTGCAAAATTTTTATTATTTGAAAAATTATGGTTACAAACAAGTATATTTTATTAATTAATTTTGAATTAATTTTATTTTTGGTCTCTTTTAAGAAACCACTTGCAGGAATTACTGGATGCTCCTTACTATCTTATGTATATTATAATTAGTTTATTTTAGATAAGAGTGTACATATAATAAAATACATGTGCGTAAATTGTGACATATTTGAAAAACTATTTTTTAATATTATTCTTAATAATATATTAGGAATGCATGATATAATATAAAATGTGTGATTAATTAAAAAATTCGAGACAAATCGAATGGGTACTCTGATATCAGTAAGATATCTGCAAATTATTGTTACGTGCTAAGTCTTAACTGTTAAATGCAACAGAAAAATTAATTTCTTGATAATCTTTCATTTGATGTTGCTAAATATTCAAGTTGAATTTTTTTTTAACCTTGCTGTCATCAGATTTGATTTGTCTCTAATTTTGAGCAAATTTGGTACCCTAAAATTATTATTATTCACACATTTAATCAAGCAACGATAAAAGCGCATGTATTTCATTTTACCTTTAAATATATTTGATTGTAACATGTATATAAAAACTATTATATCCAGTCATTTTTTAGTAAAAAGAAAAGATTTCTTAAAATGGAAGAAGATGTTTTTTTACGCGAATTTTAATATTATATATTGAAAATGATAAGAAGGGTAACAGTCGTTAATCCGCTGCCGAAATCGCTGTTATCGGGAGCAGTCAGGAAGATCGGGGTTTCGTTCTTTCTTGTAGAGAAGCTTCTGATGTTTAATGAATCACTTAACTATTCATTGTGGATCGATTTCGCGAGATCCGAAATAGAAGAAATAAGACAAATTGAAGTCGCTTCTCACTGTTAGGATCGTCCTTTTCTCTGTCAGATATTAACCAGCGTGTCACTTGGCAGAGGGATTTTGATCTGGTCTAATCGTTGGGCCAGTTATTCTTCATTGAGCGTGGCGATAACGCGATTTTAAGGAACATTAAAGTTTAGCCTGTTTGCAATTGTCCGCGGAACAAGATATATTTTTTATTTTTAATCACAAAATTTACATGAAATTGTATATTTGAAAAGAAATCGAGTATTACATTCTGAATACGCGTTTGGTTTTTTTACGTCATATATTATAATTGCAGATTCCTCGTATATTATAATAGCAGATCATATAAAATGCGCCTGTAATGTCGCAATCTTTTTATTATCATATAAAACGATAATAATTATATTGCGTGTGCGCACGTTGTATTCCGATTATAGAAATTATATGTATTGTGATTAAATATTATTATCAATTTATTCATCACATACATTCGTGAAATGTAAATCGTGATTTTTTCTTTAATTTAATCAAAGCTCAATTTATCTTTTCGCGATAATATTGTAGAAAAGAAAACCTTTTGCAAAATGCATTAAAATTCCGGGTACTCTTTCTTAATTGAAAGACATAATCGATAAATTTATTAATGATTCTTTTGGTTGCGATAGATTATCAGCACTACGCCAATCTAAAAATTTCTAATAAATTTTACATTGTACGCATTTCTGATATTTTCGTGTAATATAATAAAATACTCAATGTATGTAAAATTGTATATATTAACTATTTTATGTATAATGTATTATGAATTATGTATATTTTATTTTATTGTTATTGTTATACATTATACACTTTCAATTTAATTGTATTATTATATATTAAATTAATTTTGTAATTTTAAAATATATCTCCATTTTCCGAAAAATGGTTTTATTCTCCGAACTTTCCTTTTTCTTTCTCTCTATATACATAATATTATTGTTAAGTCCAAGCGTATATGTTGATGCTTTCAATATCATTATCCATATATTATTGATAATATTTGAATACATTCGAATACACATATATTTATTTGATGTTGATAGCACCACCAATTTATAAATTGTATTATAATTATAATAAATATTTTGTAATATATTTTTATATGACTGCGAGCTATGTAATTATACACTATAATATTTTATAATTATATAATATATATTTTATAAATTCTTTGTATTATATTTTCTATTTGGAAAGTTTGAAAAATCTACACTATTAAAAGAAAATAAAATAAAATTTTACCTCCTCAATTGTATCTCCACCTTAACGAAGGCATTTGCCGGGTGAGGAGGTTTGAGTACTCTAATGAACCTAAGAGCTATGCCGGCGGTAACGTAGGCCAGTATTCATATATAATCTGTTCTTATGTTCAAAATTATCTTAGATTGTATCTTAAAATTTTATTTAGTCAATGAAGTGGTCACAGTATTTTCTTTGACTGAAGACGGCCTTAAATATAAAAACAGACTATGAATATTAGCTGTAGTTATCAGTAGGGTCACCCATGCCGGACAGGTCGAAGGGGAAGAGTCTGACTAAGAGAGATACACAAAAATTACATAAATTATATGTATTATAATAATATACAATAATAATATATAATATATAAATTATATATCATTAATCATATATATAAATTATGTATGTTATATTAATATTTTTGAATAAATTGGAAGCAAAAAGAAATAGTAATCGGAAGAATAGAGAAAAGTCGCTTCAGTGAATTGAACATTTTTTAAAAATGCCTGAAGATAAATAACTATGGAAGATATTCCAACAAACATCAAGAAGGAGGAAATGCATGTGCCTACTATCTTAGGAATGCGACAGTATAACAATCGAAAGATTCGAAGAAGAGGATAGCGTTAGTAAAGTAAAAATTATATAGTAATAATTAAGAACGAAAAAATAGCTTGCAATTATATAAAATCTGCTAATATTAATTATATTTTATAATTGTTATATTTTACAATTTAGTATTAGGGTATAGGTATTAGATATTCAAATATTTTGCTGTTATGGAAACTACAATAAAATAATATAAAACATGTTTGTGTGTTATATAGAGGGGAATATATAATTTCATTAATCTACAGAATACTAATTATGTTCAAAAAGATTAAATAAATTATAAAAGATTGAATTATTATTTTGTGGACATTTAAAATCGTTAATTATTACAGATAACGAAAAGTTCTTGAGGTTATTGAAAGAGAGAGCAAAAGTAAATAAAGAGCAAGCCAGATGACATATAATACATATATCATCAAAAGAGTTTTGAAGTCTTTTACATGATACTTCTTTTACTTAATATTATAATTTTTTGCAAGCATTATCTTATCATAAAAAATAAACTGCATTGTATTCGTTTACAATTAATAGAATGTAAATATCCTATAAAGTAAAAACTGAAACTTTTATTTTTTATTTTATTAGTTGAAAATTTTATTTTTATTCAATTTTAATAGAATAATAAGAATTTTACAATTAAATGACATCAAACAGGACATAAATCGGATCAAACAGGACATAATCGTATTTTATTGTTAAATATGTAATAAAAAATTTTTATTATTAGACTAAATTATAAATTATTATTTACGTCGTGTTTAATGTCATTTTAAATCGCAAAAATCTCACTAATTCTTTAAAATTAAATAAAAATAACTTTTTTAAAATTAAATAAAAATAAAATTTCAAACCAATAAAATAAAAAATAAAGGTTTCAGTTTATATTTTATAGGATATTTACATTCTCGTGAGTTATTAATGGATAGAAGAAGCAAGAAAATCGATTGTAAGCGACTTCGAAATTTTTCGATGATAGATCAAGTGCTTTGCGAAAATATTAAAAATTTGTCCTATACATCGGAAAGAAAGGAGAGAGAGAGAGAAAGATCACAAAACTTATTTATATTGGAAATTTATTTAATATACATAAGCGTATTGTGTTCTTCGTATTATTACAGTTTTTGTATCATAAGAAAGAGAAAATAAAATGAAAGTTGAATACTGAATGTGCTCTAAAGTAAATCTCATCTAAATAAATAAATGCATAAATGTGCGCCCCACATTCCTCATGCAAAAAATACATAATATTAATTTTTATGTATTATTATTTTTAGATTTTTATTCTTTTAAATTCTCTAGATGCACTTTTCATTTCTTCTCTCTTTCTTTCCAACTACTAAATATAGATCTATCATTTTTAATATAGATCTGTCATTTTTAGTGTACATTATTGCAGTAAGTGGAATAAAGAGCAAATCTTTTGACACATTTAAAATGTATAGGAAAGTTTTATCTGATGCGTTTTTTTCAATAGAAATATCTGAAAAAAATGCATACGTCTTTTTTAATCTTAGTCTTTCTAAATAAAAATTAGAATAATAAATTTGCAAAATAATTTACTTTAATATATTTTTATTGCAAACATATGAAGCAAAGTGCTCAAGGTGCATCACTATGAAAACATCGATAGAATAAAAAATAGATCGCATACAAAAAAATTAAAATATTTACGTTACATATTTGATATTTCTGCAAATATTTCCATTATTTTGAGATTGATTTGTTTCATGATATATTGCAATAATTAATCCGGCTTTAGATATATATATATATATTTTTTTTAATAACATGTAATATGATAAGATATATATATATATATATATATATATATATATATATATCTTATCAAAATAATCGAATGACATTAAATCCGTTTTTTACAATAATAATTGTAAAAAAATAAAAATACCGCTTCACATGTATCCTAGAAATAAATAAAAAATACAATCGAATACGAGTTCACTGGACAAAAGTTGACAAGTTGACAGTTTGTCGAACGTACCTTGATGACGTCATCACCGCCATTGCTAGGATGAGCGTCCAACGTAGGCGCATGCGCATATCCCCTCCACACACTGGCTGCAAGCGTGCTGTTGCGTCTGCAATCCAGCATCTCTGTTTGACAATACTGGAGGAAAACAGTAAAAGTAAAGCGAGGTAAAGGATGTGGTGATTGTGAGATACATGCTAACTGTATGTATGACAGTGCGTGTGTAACCAACGTTTTCAATTTGACGATGGTATCGTGTCGAGAATCATCGATCTTGGAAATGCGTTAAACGCGTATTTGACACGCGCTCGCGCATTTTGCCGAAAGAAACGAAAGGGAAGATTTTTATACAACGATGTCGATGCAAGACGACTGCGAAATGTTGACGCGGGCAAATCAGGACAGTCTCTGCCGCGTCTGTCTGACTATGAATCAGTACAACCAGTGCATCTTTCGCAAAAATTGGAACGATCTGAACAGCACGGATGCATCCGAACTCCTCTCGAAGAAACTACAGTTGTGCGGTGGAGTGGAGGTTTGTTTCTCGTGCCATTCGACATTTGTACTTATTTTTCACATATACAAGGTGTAAGATGATTTTCTTTCTTACCTAGGTTCAGGAAGACGATGGCTTGCCTTCTAGCATCTGTACCAAGTGTGAAAAAAAAATTAATGTCGCCTATGAATTAAGAGAACAATGCCAGAAAGCAGACAAGGAGCTTAGAAAGCTCTATGGAATATCAGTGAGCACAAGTGTTACTAACAACTTTGTTTCTACAAAAGTATTTATATACAAAAGTATTTCTATATAAATAAGTTCATGCATTTTATTGATATTATTGATTATATTTCTTTTTGCAGGATCAATATTCTCAAACCGAGCAATCTTTCATTCTGGATACAATCAAGTTAGAGAACAAAAATAAGGAATTGAATATAAATAATAGAATTAATACAGAGGAGAATATCTTTATGACAGAATCAAAAAATGATATGAAACATGAACAACCAGATACTTTTAATCAAACAGAGAATATTCTAGTAGATAATGTATCAGATTTAGATTCCATTAATAAATGTAAACAATATGATAAAATAGTTATAAAGGAAGTTCATAGACCGAGAAGATTAACTATGTTCAAAAGAGTTACATCTATAGAGAATTTGAAGAATCATAAAGAAAGACAGAGGAGATATATTAAGAAGAGCACAAATGTTAAACGAGATATCAACAATAGTGAGTATCAATCAAAAATGAAAAATATTGATAGTAGAATAGATACAATGTCAGAACTTGAATTGCGATATAAATGTCCAAAATGTGATAGATTTTATTCCAATAAAAGGTCTTTAAATAGACATACGTCAACTCATGATGATAAAGAGTTCAAATGTGATAACTGTGATAAACAATTTCTTTGTTTGGATAAATTGCATAAACATTTTAATCTACATAAGATGAAAGAGAAGCCAGAACCAGTATTTTGCAGAATCTGTAATAAAAGTTTCAGAAAAACCGATACTATGGTTAGACATTTGAATGCTCATAAAAGAGCAAATCCTAGAGAAGTTTTCTCTATATTAAAAGAGATACGAGACAAAAGAAAATTAGAAAATAATCTAGAGTTCTCTGAAATACCACTTCATGTCATGGTGAATAAGGATGAAGCGTATGATGAAAAGTCACAAAATGAAAAGGATCGCACAACGAGAGAACTAAGAAAACGTAATGTAAAAATTGAGCAGAGAGACTCATTAAATAGCGATTCAAGTAATGACAAATTTAAATCTGTTGATGATACATTACTCTTTGACTGCGAATATTGCAGCAAGAGTTTTACTAATGAAAAAGGACTTCAACGTCATCAATCAGTACATAAAAAATTTGTTTGTAGTGTTTGCAACATGAAATTTTTCCGACAGGACAGGCTTAAGAGTCACATGGATCGATATAATCATGACGAGACCAAAACATCTTCGGAGCCGCAGAAACCACCTGACGATAAATCTGCCATTAAGCTGATAAACAGTTGGATCAGGGAAGAATTAGATTCTGATAACGAGGGTAAGGGCTTTCCCTGTAAGATCTGTGGAAAATCGTATGATACAAAGAAGTCTTTACTAAAGCATCAAATGAAGACACATGGCGCACAAGACGAGTATTGCGCAAATTGTGGTGCAAGCAGCGTGTGTATTTGCGCGGATAAATACAAAGATCGAGAAAAAAGTAACGAAAAGTCGAAGTTGTATACATGCGAGGAGTGTAACAAATCCTTCGAGAAGGAGATTAAGTTACAGAGACACCTGCGAATTCACGAGCGCGCCAAGGAGCAGCAGGATGCGAATTTTAAACGTTTCCTCTGTCACATATGCAGCAAAACATTCCGACAAAACACCGGTCTCATGTTTCACATGAGAACGCACACGGGTTACAAGCCTCACGTGTGTAAGTACTGCGGCCGTGGTTTCACTTCCAACTCGAATTGCATCAATCATGAGAGGACTCACACGGGCGATCGGCCATTCGTCTGTCAGTATTGCAGTGCGGCGTTTGCCAAGTCATGCACCCTCAAGGCCCATATTACCACGCACACCGGCGAGGCGAATTATCATTGTAAGACCTGCGGTAAATCATTCCGCCGATTGAAGTATCTAAAGGAGCATAGATTCACGCACACGGGCGAGAAACCGTACGCGTGCAAGATCTGTGGCACGGCTTACAGTCATTCCGGCAGCTTGTTTGTGCACGAGAAGAAATGCAAGGCACAGTATAACAATTATCAGTCGGGAACTGTGCAAAACGCGCAGCAACAGACCACTTATTGCAGTCAGTCGCCTCAGACGAACATTTCTAGTGGCATTTCTTCTGTAACGTCTTCTTCCTCGGTTATCACGCCTATTATCACAACATTGCCTCAAGCTCATCTCAACGTCATCAACAGCACTCTGAATGTACAGACCAACAAGGATTATATGGATGATATTCAACGAATAAACGCGCATGCAACGGGTACAGCGACTACGGTTGTTTCATCGGGTCTTCAACTGAATACTGACATTTCTGAAATGAATTCCACTGTTAGGAACTTTGCCATTATCGGACAAATGTTTCATACATAATGGAAAGCAAAAAACGCAAATTAAAACTCTACTGTGATAAATATCTTTTTTTTTAGATATGAAATTTGGAAGGTATTATAACTCATACAACTCTTTAAAAACAGCAAATATTCATATATATATATATATATATATATATATATATATATATATATATATTTGAATATAGTCATATATTGAGTTTTCTCTTTCATAATCAGCATATGATAAATAAAATATATGTTTTGAATCGTATATTATAATACAAGGAAAATGGGTATATATAGAATATATATTTATATTTTACAATTATTAGAAATTTTTATTATATAGAATTTTTTTACGGCAGAATTTTTATTAACAACATATTATATATATATATCGAGATTATATTTCAAATATTTGATGACATGTTATGTCATTCATTAATATTTTAATTATCACATTGTTATTATTATATAATTATCATTATATAGTTATGACTATATAATCATTATGCAGATATAACTCATCCATTGAATAAAATGAAATCCTGTAAATGTTAAATTTTTATGAGTTTTGTTTTATAAAAATTTTTATGAATTTTATAGGAAAAGATATATTCTTTTTCTTAGCAATTTTTTTTTATGGAATAACAGATAAAACACTCGTGTATACAATTTAACAAAATAAATAACTTTTGCACTTATACAAAGTTTATTTGTCGTTTGAAATATTTAATAAAAATTATATACACATTATTAATTTAATATTTTTAAATGAGTATGGATACGTGTTTTATAAAATAAACTTTTAAATTTAAATATAAATAAATTAAAATATATTTAAATTTAAATATATTTTAGGATATTTAAATATATTTTAGGAAAAATCGACGATTTTACTATAAGTATGTATTTTTATCATCTACAAAAGGTTCAATATTTTTATAATTATTTCGAAGGGTAAAACTTTTATCTTTATTTCCTTTTCAGTGTGTATGAACTACAAGCTGTCTTCACCAATACAACTTTAATTTAATTTAGTACATCGAATATGTGATAATTTCGAAAATATAATCGTAAATGATAATTTCTGAATATCTCTATGCTTAAAATTACAAATATTTTATCTAGTATATGGTCTTGCTCAGCATCATTATTTACAATTCGTTGTTATTTGATGAAAAGTAATTTAGGACAAAGCCTAAAAATTAAAAAAAATGTTGAAAAGATAATTAAACAATGTTTTAAAAATTAATCGATATCTTTTAGACGCTTTTAGATTTTTTTGAACCATTGTTCTCCGAGAAGTATCAACTTGTTTTAACTCGTTCATATCTCTCTTGCAAGTTTCCTTTGAAGTAATGATGTGATCAATGCCGAAGCAACAAAGTGGAAGGGATGCAGAGAGTTGGCAGGGATAAATAAATAGACGAGTTTAGCAGCCGGTTTTATCAGGTTTTATTGCAGACATATTGCCGGTGATCGAGTCCTAAAAGGCGTCTCCTTCATCTGTCTTATAGAATTTGTTGCGAGCAAACTGTAAGTAAGAACTTTTCTGTATTCTTAAAATTTAAACTTGATCGATTGATTCGAGTCTGTAAACATATTGTAACATAACACCGAATATTTCACATATAAGAATATCGAGGCTGTTACCGGCCGGCTAATTAATAGCGAATAATTAATAGCGATTCGCAAAGATACTTAATTGTTTCAGTTTAATGATGAAACAGTAATGATAATGAGATAGGAAAAATTTCAGGAATAATCATGACATGAACACATTGCGTTATTGATAGCAGAAATTAATATCAGGAATGATTTGGAAGAGAAACGCCTTTTACACAATGGCGTCTCTCTTTCTTATTGAGAACGATTTGGAAAGATAGACGCCATTATATAAAAACTCGTTCAAATCATTCCTAACTGATATAAATTTCTTTCTAGTACGTAGTATAAGATATAAATAAATTTCTACCGAAATGTAATATAATAGATACCAGGAACGTACGAATAAAGCATGAATCGTGAGTAATAAAATTTTTATATTGTTTAAAAGAAATGAAAATTTTATTTATAACAAAATATACAGTCTGAGTTATCATAAGTTTTACTTTTTTAAATGTATATTTATTAAATTTAAAATTTAAACGTTCTTTATAAAGTAATAAAATTTTCTTTTGATATTAATGTGAAATTAACTAAAAAATTAATATAATATATCTCTCAATATAAAATATAAATTTAAATTTCATCAGGTTACTAAGAGCCAGATGCGGATGATAGTGTGTCCATTTCAACAAAAATTAATTTTTTATTGAAACTAATTAAAACTTGATTTTTGACTGAAATTTGTGCACAAGGCATTTTTCTTGGTAGACAATTAATCAGTTTCATGAAAAATTTTTTAAATTTGAAACTAACATCACTATCTGCATCTGATTTTTACTAGTTTAGTAAGAGTTAAATCAATGTGAATGATCCCAAGAAAAAATTAAATATTAAAACGTATCATATATTATTGAATCATTCATTTAATTATAACAATAATAAAGGCAAAGAATAATAATAAATATCTTCTTTTTCAGCAACATGCCTTCCTATAAGTTGACTTACTTTCCTGTTAAGGCACTGGGTGAGCCAATTCGCTTCCTGTTTAGCTATGGTGGCACTGAATTCATTGATGATCGTTTTGACAGAGAGGATTGGCCAAAAATTAAGCCTAGTATGTACATTTCTAAAAAAAGCTGATCAATATTAATGACAGATATCTTATTAACATTTATTTACTTGCAGATGTTTAATTAATTCAACTATTTTTTAAATTTGATACAGATATTTGTAACAGATAAACTCTGAAAAATGATTTTTAAATCTTTATTTTTTAGAACATTAATTATTTTTTATTGTAATTTATTTTCTTGTTTTGTATTTTCTTAACAACTAATTAATCATCAAGGTTTTTTCTTTTAAGTATAAACATTGTATGTAATTATAATTTTATTGTAATACAAACTCGAATAGTTTTTTTATGACAAACTTTATACAATTTTTTATATTTTATATTCACATGCTTAATTTATTTTTCAGCTACACCGTTTGGTCAAGTACCCGTACTTGAATTAGATGGAAAGAAGGTCGCTCAGTCTACAGCTATCTCTCGTTATCTAGCAAAACAATATGGTCTTGCTGGCAAGGATGATTGGGAGGCTTTAGAAATTGATTCTACCGTCGATACTATACATGATTTACGTGCCAGTAAGTGTAGACACACACATATCCCTTTTATACACTTAATTTATTTTTTCTTTATTACTAGAAAATTAGAGATTCTAAATAATTTGAATTGCAATTTAAGTTTTATACTGTTGACATACTGATTATTTGCTACAATAGAGACAATTAGTTATACATTTTTTATGTATATTTATGACAAATTTAATTTATCAAAATTGATTGTTTCAAGATTAAATTTGTTAACAATAAAATTGATAACGATTTATTTTTCTTTCCATCATAGAAATCGCAGCTTATCACTATGAAAACAATGAAACTGTTAAAGAGGAAAAACTCAAAGTTGCCAAGGAGCTTGTGCCGTACTATCTGGAGCGTTTGGACGCTCAGGTACAGAAGAATGATGGTTATTTTATTGGCGGTGCTTTAACTTGGGCGGATCTTACTTTTGTCGCTTTACTGGACTATCTAAACTATATGATGAAGGAAAATATAATTGAGAAATATGATAACCTGAAACAGCTGAAGCAAAAAGTCGAGGAGATACCAGCTATCAAGAGTTGGATTGAGAAACGCCCGCCGAGCGATATGTAATTTCATTAAATGATTGATTACGTGTCTCGCAAGTTAAATATATCAATGTTTCTTTTTCCCATGAAATGTATATCAGATATAGATATATATTTTAACAATTGTTGAAGGCTGATTTTTATTCCTATATTAATATGATGATAGGAATATATTGTAGAGCTATTCTTAATAGAAGCTTAATTAACAGACTGTTATTGCATTATACAATTGTAGATCAATAAATTGCTATTTTATTATTTTGCATGTTGCTGTTTTTGTTTATTCTGGCAAATTTACTTTTTTGTATCTTTCTCCCTTTGATCTTTCTCATTTTATGAAATAATTTTCATATTTATTTCCATGTTAAAACAAATATTTTATTTATTAAATGTATCTAAAGAAAATTTTGTGTCAAAAATAACGAATATATTAAATGATATAGCTGAGAATATTTAATATAAGAACCGTAAAATTCACTTTCTAAAATTAAATCGAGTTAAATTATCTCGAGTTAAGTCTATATATATTTTATAATCACTATTGATTTGCGAAACGCATATAATAAATAAACATATATGGCATAATTGGTTTATTATAAAGCTTCTTATAAAATTGATGGAATATTGTGACATAGCTTTTGTTGATGTTATATCGCTATATTATCGCATATATGTATGTAATAACTGAAGATCACGCTAATTTATTTGGAATCGAAGGAGAAATTACAGCTAATCATCGAATAAATAAAAACACATAAGAGTTTTCAATTTATAATACATAGTAAAGATTACTTTCAAATATGCTAATCTTTCTCTAAAAAAAATTCATTTAATTGTTCACATATTTCATGTACATTTTGATAAAGATATTTTTATAATATCTCGATAATCAGGAAGAGAGAGAGATTAATGTTATATCGCTATATTGTTAAACATATAGATAAGTATCTGCTATAAATTTTGTTGACAAAAAGATTACAGATTTTATAGGATAATGTATAGGCTATAGTGATGGAAATAATTAATTTTATTTATATTAGAAAATCTATATATGTAACTCTATAATTTTATATATTTTCAATGAAATTAAATGGCAATATTGAATGGTAGTTGAATGGTAATGTTTATATATATAAATATGTTTATATATATAAATATTTAACGAATTAATCGAACGAATGCATTCCGATTCATCTTTTCGTTTGGTATATATAAATATTTAATTCACTATTCGACTGATTGCGTTCCGACTTGCTTTTTTATTCGATATATATAAATGTTACACTTAAGTGTGAGTCCAAGAAGCAGATTTCGGATATTCACTGTAAGTCAGCCGCTCCTCCGGCGATCGGGACGAGATTTAAAAGGTAGTGCCGCGAAATGGTGTAGAATTTTATGCAAAAAGAACGAAATCGCTATCGCGTCCGGAAGTCGAGATATAAATTGGCCGTTTTTCGTCTGCGTGTGAACGGCCGAAATCTTGCATGACGCCGCGCATGTTGCCTGCCTCTCTCGCGCGATATTCACTGTAACGCGGCGAGTAAAATGGCAAGCCGAATGCAATCGTTCGATTAATTCGTTAAATATTTATATATATCGAACGAAAAAGCGAACCAGAATGTAATCGTTCGATTAATTGATTAAATACTTATATATATCGAATGAAAAGATGAATCGGAATGCAGTCGTTCAATTAATTAATTAAATATTTATATATATCGAATAAAAAAGCGAGTCGGAACGCAATCAGTCGAATAGTGAATTAAATATTTATATATACCAAACGAAAAGATGAATCGGAATGCATTCGTTCGATTAATTCCTTAAATATTTATATATATAAATATTTAACGAATTTACTGGTTACGGCCCTGTCTGGCTGTTGTCCGGATCCCGTTGAAGAAGATTGTTTAATAAAAACAACGTCTTGACTATGAACTCCGGACAACAGCAGGGCCGTAACGACTCGGGCGCGTAACAATATATTAGAATTTCTTCGGATAGGACGATTACATACTATACTCAACACGGAAAAATTAATTTTAGCACATTATCGATGTAGAAATCGATGTAATTATTTATATATCACTGTGAATGTTTCAATTTTAAGAGCAAATGTATATTTTTTTATCCGTTTTTTACACAAATTGCATCTTATACGATATATGCATTACTGATATAGAGATTAGATTGTCTAATGAATCATCATTTTAATGAGTATCATTTTAGTAAAGTATCAGTCATCCTCAGTTCGTGAAGATCTATCAGCTGCAAAATTCTCAGTTATTACGACAAGTTACAAATACTAGCAAGGTAATAAAGAATTACATTCCATCTTTCCATTTTGTAAAATATTTTTTGATGAAACAGATAATGTTCATAAAGTGATATTTTTAAAATAAATATTTAAAATAAATAAATATAAAAATATTTTAAAATAAATGCGAAAGATATCCCTAGAATAAGGATGATAAATTGAATATAATAATTCAGCATGAAGAAGAGATGAAACAAGTGTACTGTACTATGTTCACCATGTAAATAATTTTCAGAACATGTCGACGTACAAGCTAACATACTTCAACTTTACTGGAAAGGGAGAGCCAATTAGATACTTATTAAGTCAGAGCGGCATTAAATTTGAGGATGTTAGAATCACATATGAAGACTGGCCGAAATTGAAATCTAGTATGTTAGATAAATTTATGATTTTGAAATTATAAACGATCCTAATGATATAACTTAATTCTGTCTGTGTTTAACTGATATTATGAAATTTATTTCTTGATTCTTAAATTAATTGTTACAATCATATTTTTATCATTCTATAATTTAATTGAATTTTAATGGATTTCAGGTATGCCTATGCAGCAAGTGCCGATTCTGGAAATCGATGGTAAAGTGTATCATCAATCCAAAGCTATCTCTCGCTTCATTGCTAAGAAGGGTAATTTGTATGGTTCCAACGAGCTTGAGGCCATGGAGATCGACGCTACAGTTGATTCTATTGAAGATATAAGAGAAAGTAAGACTGATACAGGCATGGAAAAATGACAGACCTTCTCTTCTTTTGCAAAAAAAAACCTATAATATGTGTAAAACTTTAACGATTAATTTTTGTAGTTGTAGGCGCCTATTACAAGGAAAAAGATCCTACTTTAAAGGAGAAACTCAAAGAGGTCACCCTTGAAAAATTATCCTTCTACCTCGATAAATTCGAGACTCAAGTTAAAAAGAATGGTGGATATTTCGTTAACGGCAAGGTAAATAATTTCACACGGCAAATGTTATCACGTTTCCATATCTTTGTAAAAATATAAAAATACAATTTTTTTTTCTTTTTTTAGCTATCGTGGGCAGATCTCCTATGGGCTACATTTTCTGAAACTGTAAGCCTTTTCACGACTGAAGATCTAAATAAAGATCATCCGGAATTGAAGAAGCTAGTGGAGAAAGTTCGCGCGCTTCCTAACATTAAAGCATATATTGAGAAACGACCCAAGACTCAATTTTAAATGAGACAATTTTTATTTTTGCTGATAATATATATGCCGTAAATATATTACGTCTACTAACTATTAACTCTTTCTGCAATATTTTATAAAAAATTATTTTATAAAAAAATAATATATGAACTGTGAATAATTTTAATTTACTTTGCTATCTTCTCGAATAATCGCTAAAATACAAATGTAAAAAAATTAAATCTTTGTCGAGTAGAAATGATTTAATTTCCATCTCCATTCGAATCTTTTATTTTTGATTTTTCAGAAATCTTATTTTTTCTTCATGAAAAATATCTAAGAAATAATATACATATTTGTTATTGCACATTTGCAATAACAAATTATGTGCATATGTTGTATAATTACAGTTTATGCAAACAGCGATAAAGATTCAACGTATACGAACATATATATTGATCAAATAGAATTTAACTTGGCACATTTAATATAATGTAGATAGAAATAAAGACTGAAATTAATTCGATTATGTTATATGCAAAACAAACTGGTAGTAACAATGATATAATTGTTTTTTTAACTTTATTTTACCGGCAATGACTTGCAAGTATTAATAAAAAATATTAATACGTAATGTTATATATTTCGAGCTTTTTAATGAAAAATAACTCAGATTAAAATAAAACCTAAAAATTAAAAGATTGAAAAAATAATTAAACAATGTTATAAAAATTGATCTTTTTTAAAAGCTTCTACAATTTTTGGAACCACCATACACTTCGGAAACTTCAACTTCGCAAGTTTGTTCTAACTCGCTCATATTTCTGTTGCAAGTTTCCTTTGAAGCATGATATGATCAATGGCAAGGCAACAAAGTGGGAGTGATACAGAGAAATTGGTAGGGATAAATAGACGAGTTTAATATAGTTGGTTTTATATTGCTAGACGTACTATTATTGCTGATCTATAGTGTCTTCTCATAGCATTTATTTCGAGCAAATTGTAAGTAGACCTTTTTTTATTGTTAAAAATCAATCTCGATTGCGATTGAACTCGCAAAAATATATTAATAACTTTGATATAACGATGGATGGCAGTGATAATGATAAGATCTAAAGAATGATTTAGAATAATCGAATAAGAGTGCATATTGCACTATAGCGATTTATATCAGTAACGAATGATTTGCAAAAGTGACGTTATTATATGAAAGACGTTTTCTCTTCGAAATCATTCTTGATTGATATAAATTTCTGTAATAACGTAATATGATGTAATAATGCATTGATATTTGAGACGTATGAATGAACTGTGAGTAATGAATATAATTTAGAAATTGTTCAAAAGGAATGGAAATTGTATCTATGACAAAATATACAGTCTGAGTTACTATAGTTTTATTTTTTAAAAGTATATTTATTTTTTTTCTTCCTTCAGCAAAAAAAATGTTTATTATATAAAATAATTTATTTTATAAACATTAAAATACATATTATATCACGTCATATTAACAAGAGCGAATAATTTGCTGAGAAAAGCAAAATGTTAGCAGTACGCCGGCAGTTTGCCAATAGATTGGAATATTGCAACAGATTGGTATCAGTTACACCTGTTTTTAGACTCGTATTCTGCTTATAAACTCTGCTATCAATTTAAGTTAAGCGTATTACAAGTTTCTCAATTTATCATTATGTTTTATTGACAAATCTTTATTATATGTTTGCTAGCATTTTCTATTATTGAGATATTATATAATTCAAATTTTATATTAAATTTGTAGCAGACACACACAGAACAATTTGCACAAAATCTAAAAATAATAAATATCTTATTTTTCAGTGATATGCCTTCTTATAAGCTGACTTATTTTCCCATTCAGGCATTGGCCGAACCGATTCGTTTTCTATTCAGCTATGGTGGCACTGAATTTATCGACTATCGTTTCGACAGGGCAGATTGGCCGAAAATTAAGCCGAGTACGTTGATCAATATTAATAACATATGCCTTAATAGCGTTTGTTTATTTGTAATAGCCATTTAATTAATTCGGCTCAGCTGTTCTTCAAATCCGACTTATGGGTATTTGCGATAGATAAGCGGCGAAAAAATATGATTCTCATATTACTTTTTCCATCTTCTGGACAATTGATTGATTTTTTATTTGTTATGTATTATTAATTTAATTTATTTTTTAATATTTTATTCTTCTTGTATATAAAATAATATAATAATATTCCGCATTTCTGCTTCTGTGTCTTATGTGAGGAAGTTAGAAGCGGAAATGAATGTTATTTCCATCGCGCGACAATAGAAGTTTTTGTTTTTTTATTATGCATTGTAAAAGCTTATGGGACAATCGACATTGTTATACGAATACAATGCTCTGTATTCAACTCTTTTATAAAAAACATGTTGCGTATTTGCTTTCAATATATATAAACAGTCTATTGATATAAAAAAAGCATTTTCGTAATTCAAGCTGATCGATATTGTAATAAATTTACAATTTAAAGAGAAGTTTTACTTACAGAGCACAAATATAAAACTGCATATAAAAAGGGTAAAAGTGTTTCAAATTCTACATATATAAAAACAATAAACAATTCTCACAAAAATTCATAAGTTTAAACCTTATATTGTTAAAAATTTAGACTTAATTTCTTAAATTATATAATATAATTTAACGATAAATTATATTAATTATTAATCAAGGATGTCTCTTTTAATATTTAAAAGTGTAGAATCTATACAATAATTGTAGATATAAAATTATTGCGATAGAAATTAGTTAATAGTTTTTTTTTGTAACAAAATTTTTATTCAATTTTTCATATTTTATATTCATACGCTTTAATATCACCTTTTAGCTATGCCGTTTGGCCAAGTTCCTGTGGTTGAAGTAGATGGAAAGAAGATCGCACAATCTGTAGCTATCTCCCGTTACTTGGCAAAGCAATATGGTCTTGCCGGCAAGGACGATTGGGAATCTCTAGAAATTGATTCTACGGTTGATACTATACATGATTTACGCGCCAGTGAGTGTATATATATATATATATATATATATATATATATATATATATATATATACTTTATTATATTATAAATTATAAATTATAAATTATATACATGATATATATATATATATATATATATATATATATATATATATCATGTATATAATTTATAATCTCGATCTCACCTTCTATTTTTCTGTTTATTATTAGAAAAATTCGAAATTATTTGAACCGTTATCTCTGTGAGCTATTGATATTACTCATGAATTATTAATATTATCGATTTATTTGTGACCATGAAAACAATTGGCAATACATTTTTTTCTGTATATGTATATCGTAATGTGCATCGTAAATTTGATTGATCGAAATTAATCGCTTCAAAAATGCTTAAGTAAAATTGCTTATAACAATTCTCATTTTTCATTTCTTATTTTTATCATAGACATTGCGGCTTATCACTATGAAGATAATAAAACGGCTAAAGAGGAAAAACTCAAACGCGCTAAGGAGATAGTGCCGTACTACCTGGAACGTTTAGATGCTCAGGTGCAGAAGAACGGTGGTTATTTCGTTGGTGGTGCTCTAAGCTGGGCCGATTTCACTTTTGTTGGTCTGTTGGATTATCTAAATTTTATGATGCGGGAGAATATAATCGAGAAATATGATAATCTGAAACAACTGAAGCAAAAGGTCGAAAAGATACCGTCTATCAAAAGTTGGATTGAGAAACGTCCGAGCGATATAAATCCATGAATATTATCTATGTCATTGATACTTTTATTGATGATTAATTTTTTAATCATTAATTGTTCATTTATGTCACTTTGTATAACAGATATTAATTTCTTTTTATCTCTGCTTAAATTTTTATATATGTATATATTATAGATTTATAAGTGTGCACCGAATATATTTTGATACTTGTTGAAAGTTAGTTGTTACTTGTATATTAATACGATGATAAGAAGATTGTAAAGCTATATCTAATGGAATCTTAATAAGACTGTTTTCGCATTACATAATTTTATACTTTAATGAATTGCTATTTACATGCGTATGTGCCTATTGCTTACTTTGTTTGCATTCACGCATCACAAATTTCACTTTTTCGATTCATTCAAAATTTATTAACATATGTGTACATTTTTATCACGTGTACACATATATATATATATATATATATATATATATATATATATATATATATATATATACTGTACCTTCCTCCCTTCGATCTTTCTCATTTTATGAAATAATTTTTATATTTATATTCAAATTGAAATAAATATTTTATTTCATACTTAATAAATATCTGCAGAAAATTTTGTATCAAAGACGATGGAAATGTTCAGCAAAAATTTTTAATAAAAAATTACGGTTCTAAATAATTCGTTTTTTAAGATTAAATATCTTGAGTTAAATTTACATGTATTTTTCAAGTGCCAACGACTCGTGCATATACGATAAAATAAATGTGACATAATTAGTTTATTATCGCAAACAAATATTGTAGGCAAGCAATGAAAATATCTTTTATCAGATATCGTGATACGGTTTTTATAGTTGCCATGTCACTGTATTATCACAGAATATAGAGAGATATAATGCAATCGAAGGTAATTTCAATAATTATTTGAAACTGAAGGAATGATTATGGAAATTGAAAAGAGATATAATGCAGTCGAAGGTAATCTCAATAATTATTTGAAACTGAAGGAATGATTATGGAAATTGAAAATGCATATATGAATTTTCAGTACATTATATTCAGTATATACCATGATAGATAATTTTTTGATAAGCATATCTTTCTAAAGTGACAACACTCATGCAATTGTTAATATATTGAAATAGATACTTACATTTTCTATTTGGCAAATTATATGCATATATCATACAATTTATACAAATGACGATAGAAGTTTAGTAAGTACAGACTATTTATTGATCAAATAATACTCAATTTGACACAATTAATGTAATAGATAGAAATAAATGCTGAAGTTTATTCGAAGTTATTAAATGCACGATAAACTGATAGTAACAATGAAAAATGTTATTACTGCATTGTTAGGTTAGCAACCTTTTTTTAAATTTTATATACACTAAGGTCCATCTGAATCCTCTTTTTTGATAAAAGTACCTCTAAAAGTGGCTTATAAGCCTTCTGATGGGCTATAAAAAAGGATTCAGAATATGGACTTAAAATATACCACGCGTGCCATTTAGTTCTTTTTATCATGTAATACATATAATATGAGAAAACATTTTATAAGTATACCACTCATTTATACACAGTGTTTTTCAATCTCCTACAAGTCTTCATCAATACAAATTATATCTAATCTACTAGAGCATTGAGTTGATAATTGCGAGAATGTAACTGATAATTTCTGAACAATATCTCTGTTACATAAGATGTTGCAAACACAGGTATTTTCATAACTTCCAATTTCGTTTTGTCAGCATTGTTATTTGAAAAATTTAAACTATTTGATGAAAGATAATCCAGAACGACGCCTAAAAATAAAGAACGTTTAAAAGATAATTAAATAATGATTTAAAAATTAATCGATATCTTTTGACCTTACATTTCTTTAGATTGTTGTGCTTTCCAAACAACTTCAACTGATTCTGATTGGCTCATATATTCCTTGTAAGTTGCCTTTGAAGCATGATATGATCAATGCCAATGTAACAAAGTGGGAGAATTGCAAAGAAATGAATAAATAGACGAGTTTAATAGCGGGTTTTATATTGCTAGATATATCATTGTCAGTAACCAAGTGTTCTAAAGAACATCTTTATCTTTCCTATAAAATTTGATTCAAACAAACTGTAAGTAGAACTTTTTTTATTCTTAAGATTCAAACTGATAAATTCAAGTCTATAAATATACTGTAATATAATATCGAATATTTCAAGCGCAAAACCATTGCCAGCCAGGTAATTGGCAGCTAATTGATTAATAATGATTCACAAAAATATTAATTAAAAATATATTAATAATTTTAAATAATTTTAATCAAGCAGGAATGATGTTGAGATCGAACTAATGATTCAAAATATTCGTGGCAAGAATATATATTGTATTATATAATCCTAAACAGCACAAAAAGGCCAAAAGATGTCTTAAAGATGTCTAGAGGACTTTAAGATGTCTTTAAGTCGTCTTTTAGATGTCTTTTGGACATGTGTGTTGTCTGGGATATATTATAGCAAGTATTTATATCAGTTCAAATTTAGATATTGTTTATAAAAAAATGGAAATCTTGATTTGATTACAAAAGATAAAAAAATACTTATAACGATTACACATTATTACGCAATAAATGTATACTTATGCATTTATAGATTAATAAATTGTCATATTTCTATCTATTTTTATATTTTAACTGACAATAATATTATTTTAAATTATAATAAAAAAGTTCTATAACTATCACTTTTGGTCAAATTCTCTTCAAGTATCCTTTTTAGTAATCAAATTTTCTTTTAATGTGACTATGAGATTATATGATCTTGAAAAGATTAAATATTGGAATAGGTATTACATTATTGGACTCTTCCTTGAATTATAATGACAATAAGATCCAAGAATAATTATCTTCTTTTTAGCAACATGCCGTCCTATAAGCTGACTTATTTTCCCGTTAAGGCATTGGGTGAGCCAATTCGCTTTTTATTTACCTATGGTGGTACCGAATTCATCGATAATCGTTTCAACGAAGAGGATTGGCCGAAAATTAAGCCGAGTATGTATACCTGCAAGAGATTGATCAATATTAATGTGTCGTATTATTTATTTGTCACATTTGCTTAATTAATTCAGATCGACTGTTTTTCATTATTATTATTTTATTATATATAGATGTATATCATTTTACTAAACTTCCTCGCATAATCATAAAAACGGAAATGAATGTTTCATCGTGCGACAATAGAAATTTCTGTTTCTTATTATGCATTCAAATATTCTATAGAACAATCGACAATTGTTATACGAATACAATGCTCTGTATTCAACTATTTCCTGAAACACATTCTGCGTTCACTAAACGTTTTCAATATATAAGAAGTCTATTGATGTAAAGAAGACATTTTCGCGTAATCTAATCGATCGATAAACTAATGATCGATAAACTAACGTTAATAACGTCGATAAACGGAAACTGCTATAATAAAATTTATAATTTAGAGAGAAATTCCTCAGGGAACACAAAATATTAATCTGCATTTAAAGAGCAATAAATTGTTTTAATATAAATTCTACATATATAAGAACAATAATTCTCACAAATAGAGAGAAGTTTATATTATTACTAAAAGAGAACTTTATATTATTACTAAAAATTTAGATTTAATTTTGTTAAATTATATATAATTTAACGATAAATATGTACTAGTTAATCATCAAGAATGTCACTCTTAAAATTTAAAAGTGTAGAACCTGTACAGTAATTGTAGATACAAAATTATTATGTCAAAAATTTGAATAGTTTTTCTTTGTTTTGTCTAATGAAATTTATTCAATTTTTTATATTTTATACTCATCCCCTTTAATATTATTTTCCAGCTACGCCGTTTGGTCAAGTACCCATGCTCGAAGTAGATGGAAAGAAGGTTGCTCAATCTACAGCTATTTCTCGTTATTTGGCAAAACAATACGGTCTTGCCGGCAAGGATGATTGGGAGGCTCTAGAAATTGATTCTACAGTCGACACTATACATGATTTACGCGCCAGTGAGTGTGTACAAATGTAACACCTTTTATATTCTAAATCTTTTTTTCCATTTTGCTGTTTATTAAGATAATTCGAAATGATTTAAATCGCAATTTTCATGAGCTCAGTTAACGATATTGCAATACGATTTATTCATGATACTAGAAAGAATTTTGATAGCACGTTTTTTTATATACTTATAGCATTAAATTTAATTTATAGAATAATAGATAAACAAAATTCAAGGCTCTCGAAATTAACAAATTAAAATAAAATATAGTAAGAGGCCATAAAGAGCCAACGCAGTTGTAAGGCGTGTTTTAAAAAAATTATTCATGAAAACGATCACATTAAACGATCTTTCTTTATTGACATAAAACGTTTCGGACTCAGTTCGAGCCTTCTTTAGTGATTCTGATAAGACAAAAAAGAACCAAATGAGATAACATTAAAAATTTTTTTTTCCGTTTTCATGGATAATTTTTTTTAAAACACACCTTACAACTGCGTTGGCTCTTTATGGCCTCTTACTATATTTTATTTTAATTTGTTAATTTATAGAATTGATTGCTCCAAAATGCTTGATTAAAATTGCTTATAACAATTCTTATTGTTCGTTTCTTATTTTTATCATAGACATTGCGGCTTATCAGTATGAAAATAATGAAACTGCTAAAGAGGAAAAACTCAAACGCGCCAAGGAGATAGTGCCGTACTATCTGGAACGTTTAGATGCTCAGGTAGGGAAGAACGGTGGTTATTTCGTTGGCGGTGCTCTAAGTTGGGCCGATTTCGTTTTTGTTGGTGTGCTGGATTATCTAAACTATATGATGAAGGAAAATATAATCGAAAAATATGATAATCTGAAACAGCTGAAGCAAAAGGTCGAAGAGATACCAGCCATCAAAAGCTGGATTGAGAAGCGTCCGCCGAGCGATTTATAATTTCATTGAATGATGGCCGTTCATTGCTTATTTATTTATTATATCAAGCTTATTTATATATCTCGATTTGAATTAATATCAATTTTTCTTTTTTCAACGTGTTTAAATTTATACATGTATGATAGATTTAAAAATGTGTATCTAATAGATGTATATTTTAACACTCGTTAAAGGCTGATTGTTATTCGTATACGACAACAATATAAATACTGTAAGGCTGTTCTCTTAATAGAACTTTAATAAGACTACTTCCTCATTATATAATTTTATATTTTAATAAATTTCTACTCTTATTATTTTATTGTTGATTTTGTTTGTTTTCACTGAAAAGAGATTTTACTTTTTCGATTTTTCAAAATTTGTTAAAGTATTTTTATATTCTTGTGCCTTCATTTTCTTTTAATATTTATATTTGAATTAAAATAAATATTTTATTTATATATGCTTAGAGAAAATTTTGCATCGAGAAATGTTAAGACAGTTGAGAATTTTTAATGTTATAAAAATTATGGTTACAGTTGTGATAATTTGCTTTCTGAGATTATATAATAAAATAAATATGTAATTATTAATAATTAGTTGTTAATAATATTAGTTATTAATAATTAGTGCTAAATGTGATTATTATGTGTAAATGTGAGTGCGAAACGCAGATAAATACAGCACTGAAAATACCTTCTATAGAATATCATGACTTGACTTTTGCGGTTGCCATGTCACTATGTTATCGTATATAGTAGAGTATAGCTACAATTGAAGGTCGTGTAAGTTAATTGGAGTCGAGGGAGGGACGACTAATCACCAAGTAACTGGAAATATGCGCATGAATTTTCAATGCATTGCACTATGATGAAGATTACTTTCGAGCACGCTAACTCTGAAAAAATTTTAGCAAAATGTTTACACATTTATACATTTGAATAAAAATATTTTTGCAAAAATACTTTTATTTATTTATACTATATTATTATTATTTATACTATATTATTTATACTATTATGTCGAACGATAATCTTTTCAGGATATTCTTTTTTAATATAAAAAATTAATAATGTATGAAAGAATGAAAATAAGAATCAAATGTTTCAGCTCATAATGATCTTTTTCTTAATTTTATCTTTCCTTTAATAATTAATTTAATATTGTAATTATATAATTTTTTGGTATTAATTATAATTGTTTTTCTCTTAATATCTCTTTATATATTCAATTAATATTCTCTGCATTTGTATCACATATTTTTCTTTATATCTTTTATGCGCATAAAACTCGTTGAGTCATTGAAGTGTGACAAATTATTTCTATTAATAGTTCACAAAGAAGATATAACATATATTTACATATAATGATATACGTTGCAGATAATGTCGATATGAAAAGAACCACGCCTTTTAATGTGATAAATCCTGAAAATATAAGATCGCGTTGACATGTAAACGTGATATACATTTAGAAAAAACATTAGACAAGCAAATTTGCAAGTTTTTACATTCGTAATTCTATTATTAATGGAAACGAAACATTAGATACGTATATCTCATTATTACAATTGCATGTTTTAATGCAAATATTTTGAGATCTATCTTATTTATTTAGCTGATAACATCGCACATATGTGTTTGTGTATTTCACGAATATGTATGTTATACGTATTATCGTAGGTAATATTCGATTTGTCATGTTTTGATAACAACACACAAATAGCATAATGTTGTAAATGATATGAAGTTGTTTTTTATAATACTTCTATTGAGAAATACATAATATATTTTTTCAGTTATCTTTTTTTGATTATAATGTTTTAGATTTTTGTGCATTATAAAATCATTAAAAATTTTTTAACACGCATTCTGTACTTTCTTTTTACACGTTGTAATATTATAAAATTATGCATTTCTCTTTTTAATATGTAATCAGTTAATTTAGAATATGTACTTCTCTCTCTCTTTCTCTCTTTCTAAAATTACACAACAGAGTTAATTTTTTATTTTGAATTAAATCGACATTATATCGATATTAAATCGATATAGCTAATGTATTTGAGTTGTCAGTATTACGGCATCCCCTTTTCTCACGAAAGAAATTTTTATTTCAATTTATTTCAATAAGACATATATACTGTTGTTACAAATAAGTAGCATTTGAAAAATATTTATATTATATATTCTATAATTATATTTGTTCTTACATATTTTAAAGCATAACAGTCATACAAAAGCTAAGAACAGTAGAGAAACTCTTACGTTTACATTTTTACATTCAAATAAGAATACACGGAAAAATAATTTTTAACACATTATTAGTGTAATTATTAATAATACATCACTGCTTTCGGTGATAATGTTAGAATGTTAAGAAAAATTATATTTTTTTTATCTGTACTGTACACAAATTCTGCACTTACGTTACCTATAAATTATCCAGTGAATACGTTGTGTATGTATGTATAAGAACCTCCGGTATTCTTTCATAAGTGTTTCTGAAACATGTTTCTCCAACATGACTGGATGGGGAGACATTCAGTGAAGTATCATTCTAGTCAGATGCTCAGTCGTTCTCGATTCGTGAAGAGCTCCGTATCGACTACCAGATTCTCGGTTATTCCAAGAAATTACAGATTATTAGCAAGGTAACGAGGAATATTTCTCTGTATTTCGTAAACTGTTCTTTGATTAAATAGATAATGTCAACAAAATTGATAATTTAAAATAAATATTAAAAAAACATATAAAAGTGTTTTAAAATAAATGCGAAAAATATCTCTAGTATAGGAATGAACATAATTAAGCATGAGAAAAGAATGTGAAAGTGTTGTATATATGTGTATTATATATTCAGTATGCAAAATATAATTTTTAGAACATGTCAACATACAAGCTGACGTACTTCAATGTCACCGGCCTTGGGGAACCAATTAGATACTTGTTAAGTCAAAGTGGTATCAAGTTCGAGGATGTTAGAGTCGAATTTGACGACTGGCCAAAGTTAAAATCTAGTATGTTATATAATTTCGTATACTATCATTTTCAAATTATAGATGATCTCAACTAATTATTCTTTTTTTCTAATTCTACGTATTTGATTTTGAAACATATTTTTTGATTCTTGAATTTAATTAAAGACATATTTTATTTTTCTGTGATTTAATTAACTTTTAATTGAATTTCAGATATGCCCATGGGACAAATGCCGGTCCTGGAGCTCGACGGTAAACTGTATCATCAATCCAAGGCCATTTCCCGCTTCATCGCTAAGAAGGGCAATTTGTATGGTTCCAACGAGCTCGAGGCCATGGAGATTGATGCTACAGTCGACTCTATCGATGATCTAAGACAAGGTAAGACCTACCTGGTACAGGCAGGCGCGGGAAAATGACAGAATTATGTAACCATTACGTAACATGTACGTGTAGTGACTTTTCAATATTTTCATTGTTTGAAGTGGTCACATATAATGCAATCCACATTATATATGGTACATTGTGTCGATAAAAAAGAGTTGAGACTATATTTAGAACCAATTTTTAGAATCAACAAATACTTCCTGAGCGATTGTTATCACTCTTTTCTCGCGATTCTTCTCTCCTTTTGGAAAAAAAAATTATTATTGTATACGTAAAACTTCAACATAAATTAATTCCTACAGCTCTATCCACCTACTACTGGGAAAAAGATCCCGCTTTGAAGGAGAAACTTAAAGGGATCGCCTTCGAAAAACTGCCCTTCTATCTCGACAAGTTCGAGGCTCAAGTTAAAAAGAATGGTGGATACTTCGTTAACGGCAAGGTAAATAATTTTTTAACATTTTATACGGCATGTTGTCTTGTTACTTTATCTTTGCAAGAGAATATAAAAATAAAATTTTATTTTTTTTTCAGCTATCATGGGCAGATATCCTGTGGACTGCATATTGTGATTATCTAAGCTTTGTTTTAGCCGGAGATCCAAATAAAGATCATCCGGAATTGAAGAAACTGGTGGAGAAAGTTCGCGCACTTCCCAACATTAAAGCATATATTGAAAAGCGACCCAAGACACAATTATAAATAAAACAATTTCTATTTTTATACTTTTTTGCCGGTTGCAAATGTTATGTTTAATTGCTAACTCTTTTAGCGCATTTGATAAAAAAAAATAATATATTAATATTACGAATAGCTTTAGTCTTTAATACAAATATAAAAAAAGTTAAATCTTCTTTATCAAATAGAAATACTTTAATTTACATTCCGTCAAAATCTTTATAAACTTTTTTTGGAAGATATTTCCTTATCATTGTTTCTTCAGGACAGTAGAAATATATCTTTCTAAAATAATCGGTAACAATATTCATACAACTGTTAACATATTGAAACAGATAATCATTGCATTTCTCTTTAGCAAATTATATATATTGTACCATTAGAATTTACGCAAACGTTAAAGATTTAGCATTTATAAACCTATTATTGTCAATCAAATGAAACTAAATTTGTCATAATTATGATGTGATATGGATAAAAATAGATATTGAAGTTTATTCGAAGTTACTGGCACCAATGAGAAATATTATAATTGCATTGTTTGTTTAAAAACATTTTTTTTTCAGTTTTATTTTACCAGCAAAGACCCGCAAAAAATATTACTCTTACCCTATATATTTTTTCCATATAGTTTTGCATTTAATATTAATTATTTAATATTAATTTTATTTTTCTATAATATTCACTATTTTTCATAAATATTCACTAATAAAAAAACCTATTTGGAAACAGGAAACTCAAAAATTAGTTTTGCAGATTTGATGCTTATTGATGATATGTAATTTTCAATTTTATACAAGTTGAGATATATTTTTTTATTTACATTGATAATGAAAAATAACAAAATAATAAAAATATATTCAAAAATAAATGATTCAAATTTTAATTCTATACAAATTTTTGATTGTAATTAACTTTAAATTCTCTTATACAATTAGAATTTTATTATAATTCTTTTATACATAATTAGAATTATATTAGAAATTTATATCGAAATATTAATATTAATCGATAATGGACACAAAGAAGCTATCTACTGTATGGCAAGTCATTTCACATGATTACATTAGAACTTTACATATTATCAGCAAAAACATCTTTATCATCATTATACATGTTTACATTCTTAAGAACGTCGATAAATATCTGTAAATTATATCCGTATGAGACTAGCATTATATTAACAGTTATACTACACAGAGAAATATAATGTTTGCAAATGTATGTAATTTAAATATTAAGCAATAACGATCTTGTTTACGCCACAATTTTCGGCTATTTGTTTACTAAAATCACTGTCAATATTTATTTCTTTCAATCACGGACAATGATTTTAATATATTATCCCCAATTTTTCCCCTGTTAGGGGAAGATTAGTTTTTATCATATTATGTTTTCATTTTTTCACATAATCAATATCCTTTTCTCTTCTTACAATAATAACTTTACGAAAATTGACTCTATCAAGTTTGTGACATATTCCGCATCAATTCATTCTGATGATGCAATATGTCTCGCGCATTATCCACCACTTTGATCCAATTGTATTAAGATTTGCAAATTGACAAACTCTTTTAATTGCAAGTGATAGTATATGTTCTGTAGAATTATATAGAATTATATAGATGCTATAATGCACACTATCAAGATCTTTATATTACCCAGACTTTATAAGCCTGCGGTATTGCATATGAAGATCGTGTTGATTTCGAGAAACGTCTACTTCGAGAGGCGACGTTTCTGGAACGAATGTCAGGTAACAAGGTCGAAGTTCAACTCGCCCATGTATCGCGCCAGTTCAGTTCCGGTAAATTCGGTCTCATCGAGATCTTGAAGACTGGAATTGCTGATCGTATTGGCGCTCTCGATGCTTGGATGACTCTGGAATCGCGGCGGCATCACTGCGATCGGCGTTTTCTCTGGTTTCGGCTTCGTCGGGCTGGTCGGAGAAGTTTTTCGATGCTGTGCGAAGAATCCTTTCGTACTGAGACCCAGTCTCTCCGTAAGGATCCCTGCTAGAAATGTCAAACGTCAGATAATATTTTTTGTAGCTTTCGGAACAGATGAATAAGAATAGATAAGAGATAAATAATCGTAATAAGAAACTATAGAGATAGAGAAGGAGAAAGAGAGAGAAAGAAAGAGAGAAAGAGAAGCATTTATTTAAAAAATGCATACTTTGTGTAATTAATATATTTTCAATTTTAAAATTTACTTTAAAATCTTATGCTATCTGCAAACACTTATCTCTTTGACTGTTTACGTAAAATAAATTTAATTCTACTTAAATTCTTCAAGTTATCAAATGATTCATGTTTCAATAAATTGAGATTAAAAACAGTTAGATCTTTATCATTTGTTTTTCGCGAGATATGTACAGTAGGCACCAATAATGCCTTAATATGAAATTGATCGCATTCGGGATTAATAATGGCTGCGTTCAGCAGAAAATGCTGCTTTGCAACAGTTGTAAAATTCGTGAATCTGATTGGCGTATGCTCTTAATTTTGGCCGAATCTAAGAGCATACGCCAATCAGATTCACGAATTTTACAATAGTTGCAAAGCAGCATTTTCTGCTGAACGCAGCCAATGATTAGATATTATTAAGTTATTATTAGTCTCGAATGCGACCAGTTTCATATGTTAAGGCATTATTGGCACCTACTATATAATTATGCAAGTACATAATTATAGAATATAGATTGCACGGAGGTGTTTTCTCGAAAAAAACTAATTTGTTAAATAAAAAAGGGCCTGTCATTGATCTAAAGATCACTGTTAGGGATAGGACCTACGGATTAATTGGCGTCGCGATAGCACGAGGGCAGACGAACGCTACCTAAAGTGACAGCTTTCGGTGACCTATGTATCCTCGGCAGACACTCGTTTGTGGCTACATTATTGTTGCCCTCGTTGTTGAGAGCTTGCTTACTCAACGACGTGGTCATGGTGAGTTGACTGGAATCGGAGCCTCTTGACATACTTCTGGCGTATTCCCGGCAGCTCGTAGTCTCTCTAATCGCGACAACAGTACGCACTTGTTGTTCACTCTGTGATTTCGCGAATCCGTTCACCTCGCAGGAATTTACGTTATTCGTCAAAGCGATATGCATCATTCGCTGCTGCTCATCACTGAGGGATATCGAAGGCGAATGCTGGGCGTCATTGAATCGCTTCATAGACCTCTGATACCGCGACAGACTGCTATAAGTCGGCTGTCGAAGGCTACTTCTGTGAGACTTCCTGACACAATTCTTGGATAGCATCGACTGTAAAAAAGATTACGAAATTATGCTTATTGAATTTTAAAACTTCTTGATCTTTGTAATTTTATTCTGTAATTGATGGATAAAAAAACATTTACATGTTCTAGTTAAGAACTTTGAAAATTATGTTAAAGAGAGAAAAAAGCTAAAAAATATTGCGTACTTTGTATGTCTAAATATTCTGTGTATATATATATATATATATATATATATATATATATATATATATTATATATACTATATATACTATACACTCTCAAAAAAATGTTTTGCTAATGTAGGTAGATTTCTAGATGTCGCAACCAAAATTTATCGCTATTTTTTGTATCTGATAGAATATCGTTTGTCACAGTTAGAATTTATAGCAGTAACATTCTAGCAATATCTGCTAGAAAATTTAGGATTATATATTCATTTGTCTCTTGCTGCTAGTATTTTCTGTGTACTACAGCTAAACTTTATAACAAGTATGATTGATTATAACATGGATAAACGCCACAGAAAAATTTTCTTTCTAAATTTCACAAACAGTTCAGATATAAATTCTGTCTCTGTCATTTAGATTGATTACGTACAACATATATACGATATTACAATATTTGCTAATCGTTTATCTGCCTCAGTTAATTTTGCGCACCTAGAAAATTTTTGCTATAGTTGCAAGATCATTTTTTTGAGTGTATATACTATATATGATACATTATACATTATTTAATATATTAAGATCACAAATATTAGATTTTAAAATTGCTCGTAAAGGGAGAAATTAAGTAACTAATTCCAGTTCTCCGGAAGAACTGAAGAACTCACCTTGAAGGCTTCCCTGAACTTGTTAGACATAATATTGTAGAGGAGCGGGTTCACTGTGGTGGATAAATAATAAAATATTCCGGACACATACGTGAGCGTGGTATATACTATAATCAGGGCATCTTCAGATTCAGATGCGGTATTTTGTGCCGCATATACGGCCAGTAATCTTTGTGCGTGAAATGGCGCCCAGCAGATGAAAAAGGCTACTACTACTGCGACTATAAGAACAAGAAGGATATTTCGTTAGCAGGAAGCAGACTCTAAAGTTTATTTGGTTCTTTAGTTTCTCTCACGTGCAAGATAAGATGTAAAATTAAATGAAATCTACATCTTTTGTACAGCAAGATTAGCGTGTAATTTGATTAAATTACTTACGCGCATAATTTGCAGGAAATAAGGAGCTAATTTTTCTTTGTAAAAGTAAAAGTACTCGAAAATTTAAACTTGCAAACTTTCATCGATAATTTCAATTGGAAAGAATTCATGTATAATAAGTAATTTTGTAGCAAAGCTAATTAATTTCCGAGAAAATTGAGAGAAATAAGAAAATTAGAGACACGTTAGAAATACTTTCAAAATTTTTAATTATTTTCTTTTAGACACATAAGAATTTTTACATATAATTATATATTAATTTTGAAGCGCAAGATTTGTTGAAAAAAAATTATATTTATTCTTCTTTTCTATTTAGCAGTCATAGATAAGACATATATATTCTTAGTATCAATTTGAAAATTAGATGTTATTTTGGAGTTAATAGAACAAGGAATTAGGCATTTATGAAATGCGAACAATTCCGTTGTCTACAACTACACGAGCTTTATGGAACGTATTGAGAACAATGTCGATAACGATAATATTGCTGAAGTTCGACTATTTGCTGCTTTAGATCACATTCTGCGATTTCATTATTTCGTACAAAGAGAAAGAACTTTCATTACATCTATACTCCGTTGTGTGAAACGTCGAAGTTTCCGAAAGGTGAGATAATTAAAGTTCAGAGAGAGTATGTTAGATATCGAAAGAAAGAACTGCACTCTTTTATTAAAGAGATTTTAGAATAGTTGGTGAAACTTGAGAAATGCTAGAATGTAAAAAAACATGTGACAAAAAAACGGTTTGTACTTTTCACTAAGATCTATGGTTTTCTCACAATTTCTCAGATATTTCTCGACCTCTGCGATGTCCAGGTAGAGCTTTCATTCTTTCATTATACGCGCGCGAACATCCTTTGGCTATATAATTTTTATCCCGCTTTTATGTCTCTCGTTTATGAAGTGTGATGAGGCTTCTAAAAGATAAATTTTCTGAAAAGACTATCCTTTTAAAATATTTCGAGGTTAAATCTTAGTAAATTGAAATTATAAATATATATCATTATTTTTCATTATGAATATATTGAAATAATGTTTAAACATATATAATTATATATACGTATATAATTAATGAATAATCTCTGCTTTTATAATTTATTTAATATGGAAGGAATAGATATTCTTTAAACCTTTTGAAATTAAACATACTTTTTACACTTATTAATCTTAATTAAAACTATTAAAAAACTTTTTTAAATATTTTTTATCTATTCATAAATAACACTTATATAAAATAAATTGAAAATTTACGAGCCACATACTGTGTGAAGATAAATGCAATTAAATCTCCCACGCGTCTCATTTCCTCGATAGTAAGCATGCTGCAAGCAATTTCGACAGATTTTCTCAGTTGTTTAACTCGTATTCCGAATAAATTCTTGGCACGATAGGCCAATGGTTGTCTTTCGTATTTGAGAGAAGACAAGAACGACATAATACTCATTTGAACATTCTTGCGAAATTATGACCGCAACGCGCAAAAGTCGAAACCTCGCTAAATGGCTGAAAATTTCAAGCACGGAATACTAGACTGGCAATAAAACTATTTGAAAATAAGCATGAAATTAAAATGAGTTTTATTGTGAAAATAATAGCTTTATATAAGTAATACTATAATAATAACTGATGGACATAATTTGTAAAAATTAATTCACATCAAAAAAGTAGAGAGAGATGGCAAGAGAGAAAGAGAGAGAGAGAGAGAGAGAGAGAGAGAGAGAGAGAGAAATCTAAAAATATTATAAAATATTATCGTGATATTCTTCTTCGCAAATTACTTGCATAAGAAACAAATATAAATGAGCTGAAATTTAAATAGACTTATTAATATTTATTTATATATTAAATTTATATTTAGTCTTTGATAATTAATATTTAATTATATTATTAAAGTTTTATATTTAATTATGTTATTAATATTTATTTATTTAAATTACTTTCTTCTCTCTCTAAAATGTTAAATTTTACAAAATAATATGAGCAATTCATGCGCAACGTCAAAAATATTTGACGTCATGAATATTTTAACATGAATTGGAAAATATTATGACAAAAAATAGTATACAAGAAAAGCCAGCTTTGCCTTTCATTCATATAGGCGGATATTAAAGGATGAAGAATGTCAAAGTAACGAATAACTTATGTATAAGGAGAAACGAAGTTTTCAAATTGGCTCATGCAAATTTTTGCGTAATAAAAACTTGGAAAATTATGTATTAACAATACAATAACTTTCATACTTTTAAGATAGACATGATAGACATAAAAATAACTCAAATGTAGTTGTTTTAAAAATCGTAATCATCCATAAATATCGAACTTTCATAATTTATTTATATCACTAAGTAATTTAAGAAAATTCGATATTTAAAGGGAAACACTTTGAATTTTTTAGAAAGAACACTTGACTCCAATTACAAAAAAATTTTTGAAAAAATAATTGTAGAAGACATATTTGGTTAAATAAATAATTGAGATAAAGCTCATAGTTTATTAAATACATATCTTAAATAAAAGACAACAGATTCATACCCCTTTAATTTGCGCTTCAAAAGAATAAAAGTAAAACATTATGAATTCTTCATATCAAGTATGGAAAATGTTTATACATAATATAATATATAATACATTTTCCTGCTAAAAAATTTTGTACAATTTAAAAGAAAATATTCTACAATTTCCAGGAAACAATGTTTGCTAATAAATCTTTACAATTCGATATATGGGATATTGCATTCGTGAATATGTAACTTGTGATAGATGAGCAAAGGTACTATAACATTGATTTAAAGCATTGTTTATCATAGTTTTTCGATGAAAAATATTTGATAGTGTGGAAGTATGTATATTTAAAAATACGTGTTTATTTCTTTTTTTATTGTGCAAAAGGGAAATCGATGTTATTGTTATGCATTTTATTTTATTGTTATTGTTATGCGTTCGTTGGGCAAACGAGATACGCCCACATGCTCAACGATACGAACCATATGATGATCGACATTTTTATATCGATTATCTCTTTGGCTGAGGTACTTAGACATCGAGCGAGATAGGCAATCTCATGCGGATCATAAATTCGATGAACGGATCGTTTTCAGAATAATTTAATATTTCCAGATTCAGCTGACGATTGATTTATACATACATCTAGATAGTGTTATGCGAAATAAACATGTCAATGCGTTGTTTTTCATTAAACAACATTTAAATATTTTTGCTATTGTTATATATCATCAATGTTATATAAATGCGCAATTTAATAGCGGAATTATTATGAAAAAGCCATGTACTATTATTATAAGACATAAATATCCATTTAATTTTATTTGCTTAAGAAATGGTATTTTTTATTATTATTATCCTATGCATGCGCAAGATTTATTATTCTAAAAGTATATGCATTATGATTTCTATTTCAGAATACCCATAAATATGTTATGAGAAATAAAATCCATATCTTCGATTCAATAAATCCACGAGCGTTCATTTCCTAGTTGAGCACATAGTATAACACATTGCCTATCAATAACTTATCATACATCCACCCAATGATATTAAAGCAAATAATTTTGTAGCTATTTAATATTTTAATTTTTTATTACATTGCATAATAATAACTTTCTCTTCCCTAAATTAATTATTTTAAAAAATTATATATATATTATTATATATATGTATATATATATATATATATATATATATATTTATAATATTTATAATGTATATATATTTGAAGTTCTAATAATTTTTATATATTATTTTTCTGCATTATAATAAAAAAATGAGATAACATTATATAAATATAATGTAAATGTACAATATTTTTAAAATATTATATATTTATATTTAGTATTTGACTTTTTTATATTTGTCTTATTTTTCGCGATTTATGAAGATTTACGGATTCGATGTCTTTTATGTATATTATTTTGTTTAGTGGATTTTTTATAAGAACGCCTTTTTTATTTTATTACAATGATAATCTCAGCGCAATAAATTATATTTTCTAACCCAATTAAATGTATCTTCACTTCTTTATTTGCTAAAAATGCGATTGAATGATCTTTGTCTTCGATTTGGCGTAAAAGGAAGGAAAATATAGAGGCACGTGTGATAAATACACAAACTTTTCTGTTTTTTCAAGAAGCACGTATTAGCCCTCTGGAGGAAGAGTAAATGGGAAAGTCTTAAATACACGACGGAGAAACAAGATAATTTGCCGGAGATCTGATTTTTTCTTCTTTTTCGCACTAATAGCCAAATAGATTGGTAAATCGATACGGCGTACGGGACGAAGGGCGAATAGGACGGCAAATAAACGTTATTATCTAATAGTTATTATCGATGGAACTTTGTGATATCTAAAAATTAAAAGTAAGAGAGACACGACTTCTTACTTAGTATTTTTAGTGCAGGACGTAATCTTCGACTACCATCTGGTAACTATAGTTTATACGACGCAGAATGTGCGTGAAATCTATTTGAAATTCTATGACATATACTGTATTCTCTAATAGAATAATATACTGTGAAATATAATTTTAGACCGATAGTGTGATTTTTTGCAATTTTAGTGCAATTTTTTCATAAATCTTATCAATCTTTAGATTATATTCAGTTGTTTAAAATATTTCTCTCTGCATATATTTCGATAAATAAGATCGTTATCGAAAGATTTCTTTTTCTTTTTTTTCCATCCACTGATAGAATAAAGTATCATGATATTTAGATAATAACTAAATTTTTTTAACTTTTGTTGTATTTTCTAGATATGCACCTCAATTAGTGAAATTTCTTGCGGCTGAATGACTTTGTCCTTTGCAGTATAAATAAGAAAAGTGAAGGATTCTATATATTCTTCTTCTGATAATTTTTGAAGAGATTCTTTCTTGGTAATCGCACGTGAAAAATGTACAGACAGCGTCTTTTCGAGTATTTGTATAATGTTGTTCTATAAGAAAGTTGCAATCATGTAAGGAATTTGATCTGACAACTACATATGCATTTATTCGTTACGTATAATAATTGCTTCTTTTTTGCTGACATGGTATTTATCATATTTATTATATTTATATATATATATATATATATATATAATACATAGACTTTTGAAATGATTTATATTTGACTTGAGACAGACATTTAAAAAATAACAATACGATGAGAAGTCTTAAAATAGTTTTGATGTTGATTCGCTGACGCAAATGATAATTTGTAGCCTAAAAGATTTATAAATTGCCACAATTATTCAATATCAATTCGGCATGATCAAGACATGATCAAGAAATATTCGCTTCGATATATTCGTATGATCAGGAATCATTGAGAGTCTTACGTAAGCAGATTGTGGTCAGAAAATAGACTGGAATCGCTCAGCTGCACATCGAAAGAGAAAGAAAGAGAGAAAGAGCAAAAATATACAATTTGCAGTCAAAATATCATAAATGTATCATAAATATACACTGTAATCATATTTTGTTCTTGTTCCTATCTAAAAAATTATTGTTTATATTAAAAGTGTAGTAAATTAGCAATTATATAAAATGCAAAAATAATTTGCTCTTAATAAATACGAATTCGAATTATTTTTTATAAATATGATATTTAAACTTGATGGTGATTATTCTGATTTTTTCCATGTTTATAAAGAGAATTTAACTTGTCAAAGCCTTGATCCCTATTTAATATATATATTTCTCCCTTGTATTTACATTGCTTAAATTTGCTCCGTGAAATTTGACAACCTAGAGAGATCAAAGTTTAGAAGAAATTCAATAAAGAGACCAGTGAAGGACAGCCGACTTGTTGATGCAAATAAAATCAGAACTGCTGCGTGGCGTCGTAAAAAATTAGAAGCGTGAAAAGCAGGAGAGTACGGGTCATTTATCTGCAGCTATTACCGCGCGCGAGCGGAATAATTCTCTCCTCTCAGGGTTTCGGATACAAGTTCTCGAATCCGAAATGTTACAGAAACATAGAAGAGAAGAAGAGAAAGAGAGATGAGAATAACTCATAAGAGAAATGCTGATATCGGAGGGGTCGGAATCCCATATTTCTTTCATATTTCCTCATCTTATACTTGGGTTGCTATTAGATGTCGATTTGACTTTTTTACGTGCGTCGCAGGAATGTTATAATATATTGATGATAAATGATTGTTGATGACACTGCGGTTTTTATAAGCATCATATATAATATTAAGCAAACATTGGTTGGCGAATTGTAAATCTCTTACATGTTTACCTCCAATTTTAAAGTTATGCTTACTTGAAATCAAGTGAGGAATACATGTTTCATTATCCGTTGAAAAGTTTATTATCTGTTTGTTAATTTTTATCTTACATAAACAAAAAATTTGATTCTTTAATTTTATTTATTTAAATTTATAAAATATTTAAATTTTTAAATTTAAATTTTTAAAATATATAAAAATATAAAAATATTTAAATTTTTAAAATAGTTTAAAAATGACATCAAACAATTCACTAAAACATCACACAAATCCTACGAGATATGATTATACGAATATAATTTTATAATGTCTTAATAATGTCTAAAAATACATCCGAAACTTCCGCAAATATTTCGTTCGACATCTCTACTAGGATTTGATCGATTTAATCCGATCAATAATGTTTCTGATAGTTCTAAAAATATACGACTATAATGTAATCAACTCCGAAATCATTTGGGTGATTTGGCTTATTTTATCGAGATGTGGGAACGGCTGGCGATCTCGAAAATTTCGTTCTATCATATCGATGGAAATAACCTAGGTCTTGAGGGATTATCAATGGATCTTCTACTGAACGTGAGTTATTTGTTGATCTTATTCGTATCACGAATAAGAAAAACCTTGATGTAGTAAGAATGTTATGTCGCGCGCGAAAATATGTAATATTACATGCTTAAGCAGTATAAATATTTTCTTTTTCAATCAATGATGATTTCGAAGAGATATAAGTCAATGATCATAAAGCATTCGTTGCAAAGCAGAAAATTATTTTTTTAAAACGAAAATTCTAAAATGAAATAAAATATTTTGTTAGATTTTTAGAGGAAAATAGAAAATTTAGAAGATAAGTAAATTTAGTAGATGAGAATAAAAAAAAATTGATGATTATTTTATTATGCAAAAAAGTATCTATGACAAATCTTTTTTTCAAAAAATTTATTTCTTGTAATCAGTTCGTACAAAGTTAAGGTATGATTATATAAAAAATTCGAGTATAGCAAAAATATTGAGATATTTTAAGAATAGAAGATAAAAATATTTGCATGTATATAATTATTTATAAGTTCATGGATTTCCTGAAATTTAAATTCTATAGTCGGATGTGGAATATATTTATAACCTGTGATGCGAAATATAAATGTCACGTGAATGAAGACTCTCGTCATATTAAACGATGTCAATATCTGCGGTGGGAAAATTTTATACGAGATTATAAAGTCTCTCAGGACGAATAGGGCATGCAATTCAAAGGTCAGAATTTTTCGATATTTTTTTATATATACGCAATACCCCCTCACCTCTTCTTCTCTCTCTTGGCGATAGACTGATATCGCGGATTTCCGTTGTGAAAAAATTCGGAAAGCTAGACACGTCGATCGCGTCAGATCGCGTATGATTGGGATCGATTCGGATAAACCGGTTTTTTCCTCTGCTTGGCAATTTCCAAGGCGAAACATTTCAAATACGACGGCTTATTATAAATATACTAGGATTTTGTAGAAGCAAAGGCGGCTTTATTTTCGTATCAAATCTGGTTTCTAATTAATTGAAATAACGAATTATCAAGTCTGTTATTTTTTTTTAATTGCGTTTTTACGACGACATTCCTTCAAGGTATCGAGGCAGCTGGAATACCTGACCTTCAGGAAATTGCGCGTCTCTCGATTCTAAAGGGGCTTTTAGATACCATCTAACATATATGTACTTTGTCTTATAATAATAATATTTTACGAATCGTAGAATCTTATCATTTATGGCAATCTTAGGCATTTATGTTGAATGATTTTTATTATAATTTTCATTATGTAAAAAGTGATTTAAGTATCTATATAATTTACAGATTTCTTCTCCGTAATTTTTTAATTGTTTTATCTATACCTTGAGGAAAATAATTTTCTCACAGAGATTTATTGTATTCAATAAAATCTTCACATGCAATACAAATTTTACATCGTCTCTATCAATATGCTTTGTGATATTATTTATAGATTATTAAAATATAACAAAATGTCTTCGATTACTCGAATAACTACATTTTAGACAAGGTTTAAATAAAGCATGGATTTGTATATTTACGAGATTGTTGCAGAAATATCTAGTGGAAATGGCTAATTAGAGTTTGTATTTGTTGACAATTTTTTTAAATATTTAAATTTTCGCGTTTGAATTTTCTAGAAAAGAATAACTAGCGCAATATTTTTTAATAATATACACCTGTGAAAATGTGCGAGCTAAACTAGAATATATTTAAGTAGAATACGTCCTGTGCGGTAGATTTATATAATCATAAAAAACCGGAACGATCAGATTGACATCGAAATGATTTAGAGCAAGCATTGAAGTTTAAGTCATGACAGTATTCTACAGCAAATGATATATTTAATAAAAATCTATGAAAATATCGTTGCAAATATTGTAGCATAGGAAAATGCGAAGCGAATAAGTAGGTCAAATTATAACGACAGATTCATCGCATTTGACTTCTCAGAAAACAATTTTTAAGATTTAAGAAAACAAGTTTTAATTATACATATGTGTCCTATATATATTATATTACAATCAAGTTTTTAAATTGAAATTTCATTAAAGTTCACTTAAAATTTATTAAAGATTGTGATGTTCTACTTACAATTAGTTATACCAAGAAAAATCTGTTCGATAATTTGACCCATTTATCTTGGAGTACATTCTGCATATCGATTCAAAATATTCTTCGAAAGTCAGAATAATAATTTCACGTGGATTTTTCCAATAATTGCGAGCTTTAATGGATCATCGTCAATTTTCCATCGAATTCGCGCGCAGACTTTGATATAAATCTTGAGTGGTCTCATCGGACGACGATGCATTCGGAGAATCGAAATGAGTCGATATTCAAGCAATAATTTCTAAAGCTCAAAGTGAACCTGCTACTTACTGAGCATGCGAATGACATTTCTCTGGGCGTTCGTCTTCCCTCTGCCATTATCCTGATTTAATCCACCAGGTATGTGATGCCTCTTGCTGTCAGTGGCGGTTAGCAGATTCGAGCGTCGTAGCTTGATAGCGATCAGTATGTACAGCACGATGATGATCGTCATCGGTAATACGAAAAACAGAATGGTCGAGATTTCGAATGCGTGCTCGATCAGCGTCCAGCGCGTCGAGCAAATGGCGCTGTCCAGGATAGCGCTGTCGTTGTTGTACTCGTAGATGATGCCAAATTGAATGGCCTGCGGCACGGCGAGACAAAGGGCCAATAGCCAGATTACCACTACAAATTTGATTGCTCGAGACAGCTTTGACATGGTATGCGAGATGAAGGGATGACAGATTGCCACATATCTGGGGAAAAAAAGAGGGAAGTAGGATATTATTTTATTAATCTCTATAGCATGGAAATTGTAAAGATTTAGGTAGAAAAAATATCGTATGCTATCGAAAAATCGATCAACGTATATTTGACATTCTGTCAATTATCAAATTAGCAACATACTTAGATTTCTCTACATTTACCTTTCAACGGTGAAAGCTGTGATAGTGAGGACGGTGGCGTTGGCCGAGGTCTCCGCAGCGAAGCTCTGGATAATGCAAAATGCTTCGCCAAAGACGTAGGGAAAAGGCGACCATATATAGTACATTTCCTGCGGCAGACCGGAAACAAGCAATAAGAGGTCGGACACAGCCAGGCTGAAGAGATAATAATTGGTAGCGGTATGCATGGACTTGTTGCGCGCGATTACCACGCACGTGAAGATGTTTCCGATCACGCCGGTGAAGAAGATTACAACGTAGATCACTGTAATCGGTAGTATGATATATAGGGAGTCCCGGCGATCGGAAGCGAGGGAAGCGTTTTCTTCCCTCAGGAAGGCGGCGATCACGCTCGAGTAATTTTCGTTTCGTGAGTTCGCGCCAACTGCGGCGTCATCGATCGTGGAACGTAGTCTTAAATGCGAATCATTGCTCTTCACGAGTTCCCAGGTGTCTTCTACAGCCTCTTTAAGGATTCTCGTGATATTTTCTCCGATCGCCGAAATCATTCTGTTTTTCTTTATTTTTATCGTTCTTTTGACGAGCGACCAGATAATAAGACAATTGGCGAAAATACACGCCGACTTTGCCTTGTCGACGATTCAGATCTCATGATAAAGAGGCTATTAAGCTTGAATATTTTTACGCTGCTAAATCTCCGTTTATATTTTCGCTGTTGAAATCTTATTAGCATATCAAGTCATCGTCATTGACATTGTCGCACGATTGCTGATTTATTTCGTAAAATGAAATGTCCTCCTGTTAATTCTGACATCCTCACATGTTTGTCGTTGAATTCCAACTTGTGATCTCGATGTTATTGATAGATTTCAATATATTTTGTCCAACGCATCTTTCCAGTATTTTTCCACGAATCAAAATATTGATTTTTGGCGATCCTTTTTTGCTGCTTTTTATCTTTGTTCGTGTATGAATCTAAAATTACAACAAAGTTTATGTTTTTGATATTCAAAACATAAGTTGTTTATGATTTTAAAAGAGCAAATATAGGATAATAATCGCGCAAATAATTTGATGGAGTTCGGGATTACAGCGTTTTCTCTCGACGTAATAATGGTATGTGTTAATGGTTTATAAATGGCACTACACACGTATAGTATTGTGGATAGCAGTTTTCATTATCTGTCCATTAATACGACATTCCGCATTCTCTCCCGCTGCTTCGATTAATTTCGGTCAATTTACGCGAATTGAGAGACCGCCTGTAAATTCCCCAATCGGACTCGGAATCGTACAAAATTGGTTCATCCTTACGGATTATCCACACACACACATATATGTATATATATTGTGAATTTTTATTAATATATTTAATGCATTTATATACTTCCTAAGTATATATTATTATTATTATTATTATTATTATTATTATTATAAAAATTCTAATTAATCTTAAAAATAATTTTTTTATTAATGCATTTAACACATTTTATTTCTTAACATTTAACATATATGCAAGCAGAAAAGGCATTTTTTTAGCATTTTTCTTGATTTTTGTAAAAAACTATTTTGCCGATAATTTTACTATACAAAAGTTTGACGTGATCGGTTATCCGTTAAACCAATTATACGTTCAATTCAATGTAATCGTTGACAGGAATTTGTCCGTGACATATTGCTATTAATAGCTTCATTCACTATTCGCCGACGCAAATCTTATCCATATATTTTGAACAAATGATATATTTCATAATAAATCATCGGTAACTTGTAAAATTAATAGCAAATTATCAGTTTGATCTTTTGCAAACGACGTAGCAGTCTTCAAAATATCATAATTGCGCAAGAGGGATAATTTTCAATTATATGTATGATATTTCTATTTGTTAACAAGTATCCACTTTTCGTCTTGTTACTGTCATGTTAATCGTTCTTTAACATAAGTGCATTTTTCTAATATATATGTTGATTTGACACATCGCTTTTCTCCGAGTTCCTTTTTCCTCTTTTCTATTCATACATCAAAATGTTACATTTCTCTAAATATAATAAATTACGCAAAAATGTTAAAAATATAATAATATTTTTCCGAATAAAATTGCAAGATATTTAGTGTAAATATGATCCAATATATATAAATAAATAATTTTTTAAATGTTATAACATGTATTATAATTCTTATATAAATATTTTTTTTTATTAAAAATTATATTTTGATATTACAGACACATACACATAATTGTTTCGTTTACTTGATTAAAAAAATACTTTTGGTAGATACATGCTGAATTTCCAATAGCAATATATAACATTTTTAATAACGAATCACTTTCTTTCTCTATGGGTCGAATCACGATCTAACACAGAATATATTTTTCTTTCACAAATATATTTTTTTTATCAATGGATAGATTTAGTTCGTGTAGAATAGTGTACACACTTTCTAGTTTCTTTACCAGCTATGTGAGCTACAACTGGCGATCGTTTCGACAAACAAACTGGACACTATGGAATGCTTTCCAAAAACTACAAGCCGCACACCACCACTGCTTTACATTTGTTCTTGAACGCGGAGCACTTAAACACGTTCTGCATCGCTACGCTGGCGAACACTATTTTCATCCGCACGCACTAGCATACTCATCTTTGATTTTCTTGCCTGCATTCGATCATGTTGTCATCGGCAATGCCGGTTTTATAAACGTTAGAAACACACGAGCTCTATTTCGATTCTCTGAGATTGTTCTCTGGACTGATTTCAGTCCAGTATTATCTACTAATTGTCATTCGCTTATGAAACATTAAACACTGTAATAACAAACTAAAAACATTCCGGATAGCTGATTTTTCCGATTTATTTTTACTTTATTTCTTGAATCTTCTTGAAACGCTTTTTAATGATTACCAGATGATTTATTAAAATGTAATGATTTTAAAGTGTATTATTATTTTGTTCTCTAATATACAGAGAAAAAAAGAAGGAAAGGGGAAAAATTATTTGCTATTTATGCTATTTATTTAAATTTCATATATTAAATTAAATTATTCTTACAACAAAAAACCGGATATTTATTTTATAATATAATATAATGTATATATGATTTTTATCTTCGTACCCGCTAATTAAAATGTAAAAAAAACATTTTAACTGACATTTATATAATTGAATCACATATACAATATAATAATATACATTCGACTTTTAAAATTCCATGATAAATGTAAATTAGAAGTCATTGATGCTTTAGCATTTCCAATATTTAATATCTACACTATAGTATAAAATTGATTTTTGATAAGCAGAATTTTTAAAAAGTAAAAAAGTCTTATATATTTATTATCTTTGATAAATTATTATTTTTCTCATTTATTAATTTACTTGTCTTACGAATATTATGTCTTTAAAAGTCATCAATTTTTTTATGTTTATTTCACTTATATTTCTTTATTTACAAACTTTTGACAGCTTTGACACGAATCTTTAGAGAATGTCGACTTGTCAATCAGTTAGTAGATCACAGTCACAACTTGTCAAACAAGATTTTGAAACATCTGGTTAACGCATTTCAATTTGCTCGTTTTTTATAGTTGTTGTTATTTATTATTTTTCCACTTAAATTTTATTTATGAAACGGCGAAACTTTTAAAATAACAATGAAAAATAACGCAAGATAGGTATTTTATGAAGCATCTTATGATATTTTATGACTATAAGAATATTATAAAACATGTGATATACATGCGCCATTTATTTTCTATTACGTCATATATTATTGAATAAATTGCAGTTTAAAACATCACAAATTTAAGAAAATAAATGTTTTTTCAAAGTATGAAAATTTGACGTAAATGATAATATTAAATTCATTTACACACACAAATTCAGATTAAGATAAATTATATTTTTCAAATGGAAATTAATCTTTAGATGTTAGTCTATCATCGAAATTAACTTGAAATGTAAGAAAATATAGAGAATATTGAGTTTAAATTTATACTAAATATTGAATATTAAATATTAAATATTTTTAGACAGTGGCAAATTAATTATTGCACGATATTTAGCTATTTTAGCTCATTTTTCTTGACATATTATTGTTAAGACACAAAATCGTTTTTCTTTCATTTTAATTTGTCTAATTACTCATTTATATTAAAATATAATTTAAGTATAATCTTTCACTTTTAAAATAAATTATAAATTCAAAATAATTACACATATTAATATTACACAATATTAATATTACAAATATTACAGATATTAATATTACAAAATAATTACACATATAAATATTACACACATATAGACATACACAATAAGTTATATAATATAATCCTCTCAACAGGTATACCTTGACGTTGATGGAAGGGTTTAATACCTGGGAGGTTTATTTTGAAAGGAAAGCTAAGTACTCAAACAACTCGTGACAATGCTTTTATAACATTATCATGAATTGCAAATATTGCAACAAATATATAATTAATTACGTTATTTTTAATATGTCGATTTTTAATGTGTTGCAACTAATTTAATCGCGTCTTCGCATAATATTTTGATTTTATTTCAATAAGCGATTTAGCTTAAATCCGATAAGAGTGGGCTGGAATCGTTTAGTTTCACTTCTTCTCTCATGCACCATATGACGTTATCGCATCGTATCTTCATAAATATATAGATAACTGAACGCCACAATCTTTTTTTTCACTACTTTTAAAGACGATACTCTGAGGCAAGAGTCGAGGCGAATCTCGATCTTATTTATTAATTTTAAGTTCTTTTTGATGCGTTGATTTTTAATGTGTCCGGAATTAACCGCGTTTTCGTCTATTTCGTTTCGAGTGATCGTTAAAAGTGATCATAAATTTCGCTGCATTTGATTAAATTCTTTAGATACAAATCATTAGAATTATTTATTTATGTTTACATGCGTATTACTTATTTGTGTTACTTGCACATTGTTATACACTTGATTTGATTTACGCTAACGAAAGCATAAGCATTTATCGTTTGTTTGTTCATTCATGATGCTTTTGAAACCGCTGCGATTTGCGCAATACAGCTTTTTCGCGTAATTTTGCCATCAAAAATATTTCCGCACAATTATGTTGAAGTTTTTTAATGAATGAGCATTAGTTAATAAACAATCAGTAAAAAAGCATTAATTATTAAACAACAATCTTCTTGTCGAAACAATATAACATATTGAGTGCACACAGCTATTTGTTTGGAAAACAATAGATGGTTTAAATTGAAGGTTCACATAACAAACGTTATTGATGGAATAATATTGTGTTGTTCTATTAACATATGGAACTCTCTATGTTGGAATAATGGACGGATATTGATTGAAGATCTTTCATTCGCGAAAGAAATTGACAGAAGTTCGAAATTATAACTTAATATTATCTGATTCGAGTTAAGATGATTTTTCGATTACTACTTAATTTGATTAATAAGATTAATTAAATTAAGCAATAATGCGAAATAATAATTAACTTGATTATTAAATAAATAAGAGGAAAAAACGCGCGCGTGACGTCAATTAATAGTCGCGAATAATAACAGAAAATATTAAATCTATTTGTTCGAAACAAAGTATGAAAATCCAAGGACTGGAATAAGTCGATCGATCGATCGTCGCGGTTATGGTAATACTGCACGTTTACGGTATAATTACCGCAAGCGTTTACCAACGCATCGATAATGCTGGGTAACGCATGTTGGTGATTTCTCGCTCGACTGAGATCGAATGTGATGAGAGAGATGGAAATGTCGAAGGAAGCATCGTCGCGTTAAATTAGACAATCTTCATCACGAATCAGGCTGTTTATTCCATAATTTTAAAGTACGCGATTTTTAATTTTACAACTCCAAAATCTCTTTGTCAAAAAAGCAAAAATATTTCAATTAATTTTTTTAGATAGTTTTAGATAGTTTGCTATTATAATTGAATTATGGATATATATATATATATATATATATATATATATATAATATTCAAATTAAACAATAGATTTATTTATTAATGCAAAGTTAATTTTTTAATTAATATACTTTTTAAAGAAAACTATACATGTTAATTTTCTTGATTTTTAAATTTATAAATATTTTATAGTGAATGTGAATGCTGTAATAAATTTTGAATTGAATTGAAAGAATTTATTTATATATCTTTAATTATAAATACAAATCATATATCTTTAATTAAATACAAATTATGTATGATTTCGGGAGATTAAAAATAAAATAAATCCGTCTATATTTTCGGCACAACAAGATGATTTTAATCTCTAATGCGGATAAACAATAGATAATAGATCTCAATAGATAATAGTATATTTTAACATAAGCAATTACAATCTCACGTTTTACGTCATTCGTGCCGCTAGAAATAATTACTAACAGATGATACGCTATGAAATGATGATAACTTCCATATAAGTATTATCTTTGTCGTGTGAAGATTAATATTTACACTTCCAAAGTTAAAAATCCTTCCATAATTATAACGAAAAAGAAATGTTAATTTATATAGAGCTCTTTTTTAAAATGATTATTTAATTATTCTATAATGTTAAAGAGCAAAAACAAGCTTCAGCTTATGATAAAATCTCATACTTCGATTTTACTATAGAAAATACTATCAGAAAATATTATAAAATATATATCAAGGGAAAAAGAAGATATGAAGGGAAAAGCTCGCACCAATTTTTTTCGTTTTAGTTTTCTATTTTTCTATTCTTAAGAAAAAGAAAGAGTTAAAGGAAACTCGCGTTAACTTTCTCATTTTTCTTTATAAGATAGCAGTTTTGTGAGTTATGAAGAAATAGTTCGATTATGATTGCTCGCAATATTCGCGATTGCAACACACACACACACACACACACACACAACGTTTCACAACATTACATTCATATCCCTAAATTTTATGATCACGAACCATGCATTAATATAAATTGAAATCTCTCACGTGCGGAGATTGCAAGAGACTTACTATTAATTTACTTTCTGTCTTCGATCTTGTTGATTCTATTTATATTATTTTTCTCTAAATATAGAAATGATGGTTGCGTTGTTTGTGTGCGCAATGTTTCTGTTTAAATTTAGCACGAGAGAATCTGATGCTTGCTAATATTGCAGTACGAAGAAAGGAAATAATTTTAAATATAAATAGTTAATAAATATTGTAAAATAGCGGAGAAATATTTAATATATTTTATTTGATAAGTACTAATCGTTACAGATATAGATAGTTACTTTACCTGCAATATACATCAAATAATCTGGCGGAAACGACAATCTCGCGGGAAATGGAATTGAAGTCTTAACAATACAAAAAGTAGACAATACATAAAGTAGATAAACTCACGTAGTTGAATAACAAAGTACTGAAAAGTAGATAAGCACACTTAGTTGAATAACAAAATCATCCGTCATGAAAATGCAGCATTTTCCTTATTTGTTTCTTTAGTAAAATGAAACAAAATAAAATCAGATCGAGTTTTAAAATTCCTCGTTTTAATCTTTCTATAATGTCAATGAATATGCTGGATGTGTTTTTTTCTTTTTTTCTCTAATACGCTGATAACATTTTGCATGCTCTTCGCTTTCCTTTATACGAAATCTTGCGAGAATTGACGGTAAATCCACCGTGATTCTTTCACCTGTTGCGTGAAAAATCGTTTGTATGGGAAGAGTCTGCGTATCTACATATCGGGATGTATATTATCGATCGACCA